GTCATTCTACCGCTCGCTAGAAAGTAAGGTAATTCAAGGGCTAGTAAATTCAGGGAGATATGGCAAACGAGGACATGGTTATTGAAGATGAATTGTTGTCCAACGATGAAGCAGTGACTCTATTTAATTCTTCCCTTAAAAAAGCTTTAAAAGAACAGAGCGAAACTATAGTGAGTACAATTGTAAAACAAATTACAAAAACGCCAGTCGTCTCCAGTGCAAAAGAGGCCGCATTTGAAAAGTTCGAGTTCAAGCACGAAGGTCATAAAATTCAGCACAACTTTAACGAAGATAGGCTAAAGAAATTAGACGAAATTGAGCAAGCTATTAAGAACGGCGATATCGACAGTGTCCTTGAAATTATTGAGAAAGAGAAGGCCGAGCTTAAACAAAGGAACAAAATCCTAAAAATAGCCGACAGACACGGTTGGGATACCGTACATGAATACCTGGACGACCCCCTTGCCGACGACAATGACGATGCGGCAAAACTTCGTGGTGCTGTTAATCGTGCTGCTAGGAAGCGGAATTTCCGATACAAGCCTTACGGACAAAAGCCCGGAGCATTCAACAAAAATGAGTTTTTTCGGGGCTTTAGCAACACAGCTAACGTTGGATCGGCATTCAGGCAGCCCTACAGAGCATCCAACGACCAGAAGTGTTTCTACTGCAGACAGCCGGGCCAAATCGTCCGAGATTGCCCTCACGCCAAGTCTCAACAAGTCCCAGTACCACCAAGCCAAAAGCCAGCCGCATCAGGCAGTGCCAGTCAGTAGAGAAACAGATAAAGTTGAGTATGAGTTGGATAGTGTTAATGATAAATTGTTTCAGTTTGAGCTGAATGATAATAATATTTCTGTAAAAGCAAAGCTGGCAAAAAATTTGTCATACTGGAAAGAAAATAACAGATCAGCTCTTATTCATTGCGATTTTGTCGTAAATGCTATACAAGAATTGAAAAAATCGGGTTGTATAAAAGAAATATTGAATCCATATGTGATAAATCCATTGACTGTTTCTATTAATGCATCAGGGAAAAAACGGTTAGTGTTAGATTTACGATATGTTAATCAGTTTGTTGAAAAACAAAAGATAAAATTTGAAGGTGTGTCTGAAGAACTTGAATATGCTAAGAAAGACTTGTATATGGTGAAATTTGATTTAAAATCAGGTTATCATCACATTGATTTTCATCAAGATTATCAAAAATTTCTTGGTTTCAGTTGGGAGTTTGAGGGAGAAAGTAAGTATTTTGAATTTTCAGTCTTACCATTCGGATTATCATCTGTAGGTCATATTTTTACTAAAGTAGTAAAAACATTGGTGAAGTACTGGAGGTCGACAGGAATTCCAGTAATTGTGTACTTAGACGATGGTTGGGTGTGTGATGAGTATGAAAAATGCAAGCAGGCGTCTTTGGTAATCAAAAACACTTTAGAAATGTCTGGGTTTGTTATTAACTACGAAAAATCTCAATTAAAACCAGTTAATGTGATAACAAGGTTAGGTTTTTTGTGGAATTTAAAAAAGGGTACAATAGAGGTTCCAACAGAAAAAATCAGTGCTATTGTTTGTGCTTTAGAAAAAATTATAAAAAATGTTGAAAATGTTACTGCTAGAAAACTATCCTCAGTGGTTGGGAAAATCATTTCTCTGAAGCCAGCAATCGGTATTATATGTCAGTTAATGACGAGGTTTATATGCATGACAATTTGTACTAGAAATTCCTGGGACGAGAAAATGACCATGTCAGACAGTTGTATGAATGAAATACAATTTTGGTGCAAAAACATCAGAAAAATTGAATTTTCTCCTGTGAGAAAAATTACAAACATTCCAGAGAAAATCGTTTTTTCTGATGCAAGCAGTGTTGCAGGTGCAGGGTTTACATATGAAAAAGACAGACAAGTTGTTCATTACATGTGGAATGAAAATGAAAAAAGCAAGAGTTCAACTTGGAGAGAACTGAAAACGGTGTATGTGATATTGTTGAGTTTGACAGAAAGCCTCTATGGAAAGTTAGTTAAAGTATTTACTGACAATCAAAATGTTGTGCGCATCGCATGCAAGGGCAGTATGAATAAAGAGCTGCATCAGCTAGCACTTGATATATTTGGTTTGTGTATAAAGTATGCAATTCATTTAGAATTACAGTGGATTCCAAGAGATTTAAATAGCATTGCTGATGATTACAGTAAAATTTTTGATTTTGACGATTGGGGTGTATCAGATCACATTTTAATTTTTGTTCAAAAAGATGGGGTTCGTTTTCTTGCGATATGTTTGCAGATTCTAAAAATAAAAAGGTAGAAAAGTTCTATTCAAAATTTTGGAGTCCTGGTAGTTCAGGTGTTGACGCATTTGCGCACGATTGGTCAGGTGAGAACTGTTGGATATTCTCGCCTCCTGTGTTAATATGTAAAGCACTTAAGCATCTAAAAATATGTCAAGGTCACGGACTATTGATTATTCCAGTGTGGAAATCGGCATTATTTTGGCCTATTGTTTGGAATGAATCAAGCAAAACATTTAGAAATTTTGTAAAAGATTTCATTGAATTTTTTAAACCAAATAATTTTTTCGTACCTGGTTCAGACAGTACAAGTATGTTTGCAAAGACACGATTCAGTGGAAATGTTATTGCAATGAAAGTTGATTTTAGTATTAACTGAAGATTTACTCATAAATCTGTGTTATTAATAGTTTTTCAGCGAAGCATGGATGGAGATAGAGAGTCTGACAAAGGATGGTCGGTTCAACACAGACAGTAAAAATATACTAGATATAGTTCGGAGAAGCAATAGTGACAACACATTGAAGAAATACGATTTTTACTTCCAAAAATTCCAAAAATGGTGTCAGGAAAACGGAGTCCCAAGTCTACCTTCCAAACTAAGTGTGATTGCGATATTTTTGAGTGGGCAAGTTCAACGCGGTGTTTCAGAATCGGTGTTGTTATCGTTTTATTACAGCATTAAGTGGTGCCATGATATTCATTGTGTACGTAATAATCCGTGTGATCAGAAGTTAATTCATATGCTCGTGCAAGGAGGGAGGAGGATATCGGCAAAACCAATTCAAAAGAAAGAGCCTATTACTTCGGATATTCTTCATGATATAATATCTTTATACGGTACGGGAGAGAAAAAATGTGATTTACAAAGTGTGAGATTAATCTGTATGTTGTTAATTGGTTTTTCGGGGTTTTTGCGTTTTATTGAAATTTCCAATTTAAAAGTGAAGGATGTGAAATTCTACGAATTATTCATGGAAGTGAATATCCAATCTAGTAAAACAGATGTGTATAGGCGAGGAAATATCGTTACTATCGCAAAAGCTGGGGGTGTTTTGTGTCCCGTTCATTGGATGAAGCATTATTTCGAAATTGCAGAGCTCGATAATAAAGAAGATTTTATATTTAGATCAGTGAGATTTTTCAAATCTGAAAAGAAATACAAGTTATGTGAACAGAATCTACCTTTGTCGTACACTCGTGCGCGAGAGATCTTACTTGAAGCTTTAAAAAGAGTAGGTGTGGATTCAAAATTATTTGGACTGCATAGTCTCCGTAGTGGAGGTGCAACTACAGCCGCTATGAACAATGTTTCAGATCGCTTGATAAAGATTCATGGCAGATGGAAAAGTGATTTTTCCAGGGACAACTACATTAAAGATTCAATAAACAATAAAATAAAAGTTACAAAAAATCTTAATTTGTCAAACAAATAATTAATGCTTTTAAATTCTAGCCCTTTGTTTTATTCTATGTTCTAGCGAGCAGCATTCCTACATTTATGGTTGTTTGTTATCTTTAGAGTATAATTAATTTATATTCGGACGAACAAAGTGAGGGAGAATATAATTATTATTATTCTTGGAGAGTATTCGATTTGTGGGTTGTCACGTGGTCATGTAATATAAATAGTCGAAGCGTGCAGAACAAGTCATTCTACGCTCGCTAGAAAGTAAGGTAATTCAAGGGCTAGTAAATTAAATATGAAAAGAGACCTTAAAGGGCTTGAAAATGAAAGAAATATAAAGACTCCAGGCAGTAAAAACATATGAATGAAATATCTGAATGAAAAGAGGAGCAGTGTATATATATGTAATAAAATGTTCTAGCGAGCAGCATTCCTACATTTATGGTTGTTTGTTTTCTTTAGAGTATAATTAATTTATATTCGGACGAACAAAGTGAGGGAGAATATAATTGCAGTACTGGTCATAATTCTCAGACCTACGTAGAGTTTAAAATTCGTGTTACTGTAAAAATAATTTTTTGTGTAATCTTGGCTTGTAAAAGACTTTGATTAAATATTATACATCCATTAATGATTTGTATTTAACATTACAACAAATTGCCGTGCGTAAAGCAGTTGTACATTGCCTTTTTAATTTTTTTTAAATCTAATGTTTTAGCATCGTTCTACATACATGTAGGTACTTTATGTATTATGTTTCTAGGGAAATTTCATGAATAAAGTAATAGCTGAGTTATAATAATAGAAATATAAATATAATAGATAATTTTTGCAATGAAATATTTATTCTTCAAACACGATATCTAAGTTATTTAATTAAAAAACGTGTAAATCCTTACCATCAAAAAGATAAGTCCTTTCACTTCGGGGTTTCGAATGACAATAACAACTGAACAATAAGTGAACGGTGAACGCAAGGTGAATGCAAGGTGAACGCAAAGTAAACGGAATGAAGAGCAAACGGTGAACGTTTTGTGAACGGTGAATGCGAGCACACGTGAACGGTGAACGCCATACTGTGAACGGAGAGCGAACAGTGAACGCACGCTGAACGAACGGTGAACGAACGGTGAGCGAACGGAAAAATAGAAAAGTAGAACGTTTCAGGGACTGTAGGTTGTGACATGGACAAGCTCTGCAGGAAGAAGGATATGGAGATAACGAATAGTATTCAATATCGAAGTCCAGAAAACAATACAAAATAGGCATATTTCACAAATTCACGTAATTCTCCAGTGATTAGATTCCTAGGGACATATCAACAATCCAAGTAACTGCAATGAAATGAAATGAATAACACAATAGAAATGTACATATTATATATGTAGAACGCCTCTCTAGGGTTTACCAAACAACACAACAGACAAGGTTTAAGATTCTCCGAATACAATGCATGACAATTAATTAAGGATGCATACATATATTATGTTATCAATGAATCACATTTACCTATATAACAGGTCTGTCTTTTAATGTATCTATAAACACAAAGTTCGTTGTTGTCCCGAAAACCCACTAAGAGGAGATGAGTTTTGTTGTCATAACTTAGGGTGCGTGGTATTTTTCCTTGCTCTTGTGTCAGTATCGATAACAGAAAGTTACCATCCTTGTCAATTATTTGTATTGTTACAGTTTCAAGATCACACACAAGGATATGTGACAGCGCGTTAGTACAGATTCCACGTGGCTGAAGTCGTAATCCTGATTGATGTCCAGTGTAAGAGAAACGATGTCGTCCTACCCTATCTGTCACCACTACAGCACCACCTAACCAATCTATGTCAGACACAATAACATCTCCGTTGCAGTTCTCTACAATGCATGTAGGATTACTGTGCAGTTTCTGACCCTTGGTGTCACGTATTGTATGTATGTGTTGTCCTGTGCTATTGTATCGATCTATCCTGTATCTATTTAGACAAAACATCCAAATTTGTATAATGAGTAGATCACCATTGATTAGGGAGGAATAGACACATCGTGGCTTCCATTCAACTGTTCCTTCAATCAGTGTAGACCCTGTTCTATTATCTTTAGACAATTTGAACATTTCATTATTTGGACCTATATAGATTAATTCCCCTTTATTGTTCACTGTGTGTGTTTCATATATAGCATTTGAAGTTGAATAAGTTATTTTTGTCAGATGGTGCAGAAAGTCCCTTGCTATGTTTTTCAAGAATAAATAAGTACTGTTGTTGTGACTAAGACTGATCCAGAACATGTTTGAATGAAGACAAGAAATGTGTGTTACATAACCGAAATGTTTCAGTTGAATAGTTTTGACTAACACAGGTGTAGACATAAGTTCCAGTAGATCTTCATCTCTCATTTGTCTCTGTCTTCTCCCTATGATTTGGACTTCACTCAGAAACTCAATCACATCTTCTATTTTGATTTCCTCTCTCAGGGAGGGTAAGGTGTGTTGTGTAAGTTGAAGAGTGTCTTTTATTTTTGGAACAAAGATGATTTTATAAAATAAAAGGAATTTTATCGCTCTGTTCACTGACTGTTCATATTTATGTTCATATTTTTCTATGCTGCCGAGGTTTCTGAGCAGTTTTCTCTTTTGTTGTAATTTGTGAGTCATGAAATTGTAAAATAGGACTTGAACATTAAGCATCACGGTGGCAATGAAGTTTTTTAGTTCCTTGCCTTTTTTCGACATTTTTAGGTGATATTTGATGATCTTCGTTTGAGCAGTTTTTGTATCAGTCTTGATGATTGCCAGAAAAAAACGGGTTTTATAGAGAGCCTCACCTCTGATTTTTTGCAGGATGTCTCTGTATTGTTCACGATGTGTTTTATACGCTGTTCTAATGTCCAGTATTTTGTGTTGCTCATGTTCTTTACACTTGGCACAGACAGGAAGTTTACATGTATAACAGTAGTTAGTGTACATTCTGTCTGGATGTCTCAAACAGGTCTCATGTTTTTGTATGTCATATTTCTCTCGATAAATCACAACATCATGGTGTATGGTATCAAGATCAATAACATGCCCCTCTTTACATGATAGACACAGGTCATGTTGACACGTGTTACAGTAGAATTCTGTGTCCCCATAACACTCAGTACAATGCCGTATCTTACACTGGACGCTTGACCCTGAACCCATGATTTAGAAGATCTTTGTCTCTAAGAAACATAAACTCCTGAAAGAAATGAAAGATTCTTAAATTATTTCTTTACAAAATAGAATATTGTTTTCTTTCTCTTTTCATATAATATTTGATCATAGAATATCTTACAAGTATCTATTTTCTGGAGTAAATTCTTGGTCTATGGGGAGTAGCAATTCTAGGTATTTCTTTTAATAACACAAGATATCCAACTCCAATTAAATGCACATGGATTGCATCCTCCACAGAAACGCAGTCACTTAATTTTCATCGTCAAAAGTTTGTTTGCTGACTACAGAAATCAACAAGATGATATTATTGTTATATTTACCAAATATAATAAAACATTGAAGTATTTTTGATAAATTCAAATGCATAATTTTGTTCATTTCGTTCGAGAAGTCAGTTCTAATCATCTAACAGAGTATTGAGGCTGTTAATGGACATAAAAGGAAATAAAGACAATGGCCTACATATACAAAACGGTGTATTTACAAATATTTAAAATAATTCAAGTTTTATAATTTTTAGCAAATCTAACCATAAAAATGCAGGTGCAAATATGCAAAGAAAAAATTCATGATACAAGTACACGGCAAACATTGTCAAAAATTAATCAAACAAGATACATGTAATAAAGTTGATTCAATTATTGTTTAGTTTCTGTGTGAATGCATGGTTGTTTAATTTCTCTTTATTTTTTTTTTGTTGACTTTGTTTTGACGGTAGTGGGTTTCCATAGACGGATGTAGTGTGTAAGTTATTTTTAGCGTGAGGCGTGAGTATAAAAGTGACCGGTTAGGCCAGAGTGGTCAAATTAGGGAGCGTTAGCAACACCAGCTGGATGCCACGTTGTACTTGTCCTATACGTTCTCAGGGTGTGGCGAATTCTACAGTTTATAGGGACTGTTAACTGGTAGCCATTAGAATAAGGAAGGCTTGTTTGGACTGGCATATTTTTGTTTTCTCTATCTCACTAGGCGGTGAGCGTATTTGTTTTGTTGGTCAGTTTTCACTGTTGTAAGTATGTTCTTTTGCTAGTTTTTCTTTGTTCATGCGTAAAGTTACTTTAGGGTTAGTTAAACGTGTGATATTTTCAGTGCGTACAGTGCAGAAGGCGGGAGGAGTGTTTGGTGTAATTCCTCGACGTCTACCTATAAGATACCTATGTCAGTATGGATGGTCATGCGGGTACTGGGGGTGTATGGTTTTAAGGGTCCTCCACACCATGTGACCTGTGACGTATACAGAGAAAAATACTTTTACTTCCGGTTTTATTGAGAAAATACATGAACGAATTGTCCTACCACCGTTTGTAAACAATGAACACATGGAATGATGATCACGGAGTTACCGATGAAAAGGATTGCGGTATTTTTTTTTAAATAAAAGAACAACAGGCGTCTTGGATTATGTTAATAAAGATAGTAATTCCTAGACAACAGGTACCGGTGGGTATGACGAGAAATGTATAGGTTATTTACATTTTCAGGCTAATCAACCAAGTCTGTTTTTGATAGTTGAACATGTTGAAATTTCGGCACACTTATTTGTACGTTTCAATAAAACATTATCTCATTGTGTGTTTATAAATATTGATAAAATAGTGTGCGTTTCTGGTTTTCCTCTTTTATTTTTCTCCAGTTCAGTGGCCAGTATATTACTAAATATAGTATGGTGACGTAAGCGGAGACTTGCCAAAGTTTTTGAGTCCCGAGCAACAGGAAAGATAACTCCAAAAAAGAATTTTGATACCAGAGATTTTGAAAATGTTTTTTTCTAGATCAGTGCATTTAATTTTAATTCAATTTTTTGATGTAATCTAATTCATTAATGTTTCTTCTCTACAAAAGGAGTCCTTGTTGATTTTTCTCGTGATGTATTTCAGTGAAAATGAGTTTTATGTACTTTTTATAAATAAAATAAATTCCTGTAAAAAATGTGTTGATCGATAAAATTAAGTTTTTATGGTTATTCTGTGAACTTAAAAATATACGAAAGGGTAAGACAAAAATTTTTGTGCGAGGTATGAAAATGCCTTGGGAAAAATTTCTTGAATCTTGTGAAATAATTATTTTAAAAAATCAGTATAAATTACATTTTAATCCCCAGACAGTTTTTAAAGGTTGATATGCTTGTTAAAAGTAATGCTCAATAATATAAGTACATAAGCTGTGGGTGTGTGGAGGACCCTTAAGGACCTAAGACATTCTTTCCAAGCCGGAGGGTGAGACCAGCGAGTCCGGGCCTCCAACTGACATGGTGAATCATCTATTGGCGATTGTCCGTATGTGCTTATAGGGGCGGATCAGCACGTGGTGGCGGGAGTCTTTCATCGTAACTAGTGTCGTGAATAGTGAATTTCAGTGAATTGTGTTTCTTAATAAAATTTGAGAAAGGAAATTCCATAAACTATTATACAGTTTATTTATTAAAGTGAACTTTTTCTAATTCTAATGAAGAACAGCTATTGGTTAATCTTGATATCTGAGACGTGATTTGACAAAAAGACTGTTGATTTAAAGTTATTTATATTGTACAAGATATTTGTTAAACTTATTTCTGTCTCATATCATTTCGAGTTTGAGTGTGGTGTGAAAGGAGGGAGAGAGAATATTATCATTTTTTTGTTTATTTTCTTAAATAATTTTTTTTGTTAAGTTAACAATTTGTTCTTTTATCTCAGCCATACAAAATTCCAAAGAACTCATTACAATACAATTCATTCATCAGCCAATCAATCAAAATTAACAAATACAGAGTAAGCATCAATTTACGTACACTTAAAGCAGTTTGAACTAGAAATATCTCGAAGGGATTATGTATTATTATTATTTATTTATTTATAAAGCGCAAACTCACATAAAGTTTCTATATGTATGTTGTTTTATCAAAATCAGTTTGATTTAACGTAGTCTATAATTTCATTTTTATAAATCAAGTATATACCGCCATATTCTATTATCTTTATTTCCTTAAAACTCTTTTTCCGATCTACATATATACACACTAATGACACTAGAGGTATTATTAGTCTGAATAGCTTCATGCTGTACGCTGAATTGTTTTGTGTTTGAGTTTCCGGTTCAGATTCCAATACTTCCTGTTTATTTGTATATTTTTTGCTGTAATAAAAGTTATAACTACACTGTCCATATTTAATATTTTCTTTTTATCTTAATTTAGTGATTTTTTGTTACCGTACATGTATTTCCTACATTATATACCCAACAGAAAAAAAGATCTCTTTACTATTTTTAAGCATTTCTGCTTATTACAAACAATTATTACATGAATTTAATCAACCCATCATTTTTGTCCTTCGTCATGATTGGCTTACACGAGTTTTCTCCCATTTGCATTGATTTTTCTACAGGAAATTCTTGTTTATTTTTGGGAGAAGACACACAAGGAATAAAATTGATTTTTGATACATGTAACGTGTTTAAGAGAGATGAAGTATTCCTTGAAATGAAAAGAGTTTTAAAAACAGTCAAGCAAAACAAAAAATATTGAAAATTTCCGGTATTTTCAACAGTTTTTTTTAAAAATTAAAATGTACTCTTTTAATATTTTTTTATAAATTGAAAAACTCATTCATTAATAAATTTCCAAATATTTTTTTCATATTGTTTTTGCTACGGTAGCATAATTTTATTTCATGATCAATTTATAAATTCTTTGATTTTATTTGAGGGTTTCAGCATGTTCATGGAATACTCTTTTTTGAGCGTGGTACGTTTACAATTGAAAAAAAAATTATATATAACTGTTATGATTTTAAATAGTGCCAATGCAAATTTTGAGTATATAATATTACATTAAATAATGATAACATTAACATACATGCAAATATTTTATTTTTCATAAAAATGTGGTTTATTTTTAGGGATAAATATCTTAATACTTCCTTTTTTAACTTTTTAAAACATTTTTTCTAAACTACTTTAATTTGTGTGAATATACAGTCCCTGAAAATATAACTTATCAACTATGATAATCTCTACTTATCAAAAGATTGAAAGAAGTTCTTGCTTTTTCTTAGCGTAAACTCATCTCATCTGCAAGTAAACAAAACAACAGGGATCCTGCAAATTCAAAATACACAAGGGGGCGGAGGTATCATGTCACTCAGAACCTTTTTCACACATAGGTAAACAAAGCAGTCACAAGGATAGCTGGTCTGTTTTCTACGAAAGCCCAGAAGGCACATTCGAGATTCGAAATACGAGATTCGAAATTCGAGTTTCGAGATTCAAGATCCAAAATAACCAATCAAAAGGCGGTTTGAGATTCAATAACCCCCCTTTATTATTTTTTACTATCAAGAAATCGTTGAGTATTTTAATACCGAGGAGGTCATTTGATTAAATTACAACGCAAGAAAATGTGCTATATATCATCAAAACGAAATTTCAAGAAATATTAGATTTTGCAAGATATGCTTAATTAATTTATGATAGCTTCTTAAATGCCATAAGAGATTTATATAAAGAATATATATATTTCGTGTTATCTACTTTGGATACAGGGTTGTTGACATAATAGTAAACTTAAAATAGATTAACAGTACCTGCATCCCCCTTTTTTCCAGTTATATTACTATTGAAAATGTTCATCAAAAGGTCGGTTGCCAAGCCCCCCCCTCCCCCCCCCCACACACGTTTTGGTACAGTGGTGCAGTATAGTCAAAGAAGTTTAAGTAGTAGTGTATTAAAAGAAATTGGTACTAAATAAAGTTCGACCACCCCCCATCCCACGCCAACTTTCACGCCCCGAAATAGGATTTTCGGGTTTAGACATTTTTTTCTGTCAGTTTTTATTTTCAGGTTTGAAATAATTTTGTCTGCCCCCTCCCCCACCCCACTTTCAAAATCGATGCTTCGTCTCTGTAATAATTAGTACTACGGGTTTCAAGGTGGATAGTGTTTGTGACACGGTATAAGAAAGTGGCCAGTGACCAAGTTTATGAAACAATAGACAGCCCCTTAAATAC